TATATATATATATATAAACCAATATTAATCATTATTATATATAATATATATGAATAATAATATTAGAAATATATATTAATGAAGAGAGATTATAATGAGTTCTGTGAGTTAGTAGAAACTCGTATATTGCTGGTTCTACTGCAAAATGGTGATAGTCTTACAAAATTATCGTAAAACATTTTCAGACGTTAATTAATTATTTGTCAATTATTAAATAATAGCGCAAATTTTCTAACAAATAACAAATAAGCTGTGAATCCTCTACGCATTTTATGCGATCATGAGCAATTAACACAGATATCATGCGTTAATTATATTAATAATATTCTCACTGAAAGAATTACAAGGAATCTCATAAAAAAATTCGTTACGAAAACTAACAAATAACGTTTTAATTAATACCTGCGCGAATAAAATTAATTTAACTGCATATTTAATTCATAACTAACGCGTACCTAATTAATACATAACAACGCGTAACAGAATTAAAGCCGAATTAATAGCTCTAATGCGAACAAATAGCATTCATAGCTAGCGTGCATAACTATCAGTACGCCTTTATACCGCGATCCTACATGTACCTTTATACCGCGATCCTACATGTAATCGAGAAATAATCATATCAACCGAGAAATAATCACCCGAATAGATATACAAAACACACTCGGCATCGACGCATTTAATAGATAAACGAACAAGTGAGCATCGGAGCGATGCGACGAGGACGATAGAGGGCGAGCAGGTGTGTTAAATGGTCGCTATTTTGATTGGCAGGTGATAGAGAAGCGACGCAGGGACCGCATCAACAACTGTCTGACGGAGTTGCGGCGACTCGTGCCTCAGGCGTTCGAGAAACAAGGAACCGCTAAGCTGGAGAAGGCCGAGATACTGCAGATGACCGTCGATCATCTGCGCATGCTCCACAGCAAAGGTGAATATGGCCGCCGTGACGTCATAACGAATGCTCTGTCTGTTTGTCCGTATGTCTGTCGGTCTGTCGTTCGGTTGGTCCTTCTATCAATATCATCTATGTATATTCATGTGCGTTCACACATCTTTCTCCCGCTCTTTGTTTCGCTCTCTCACACACTCTGTCTCTCTCTCTCTCTGTTTCTCTCTCTTTTTTTTTTTTTTTTTTTTTTTTTTTTT